CTTTGCATTTTTCCTGAGAGCAGAAGACGTCTTTCCGAATGACTTAGTTCTCGTGGATGCGTATCAGAACCAGCGTTCGACCCATCTTGCTTGGGTTTCATGGAATGTTCAAGCGGAAGACTATTGGTTAGAAGGGCTGAAAAAAAAGTTGGACGGTTTAAAAATTGTACTGCTGCTTAGCACTTAGCGCTATCTTCCAGCGAACTTACTGGCCGGATTTGCAATCCAATAAGGCTGAGGAGCAGCTGGGGTCTTCGTAACATCAACACGTCGTGAAACACAAGGGGAAACAGGAGAAGTAGGAGGAAGGGAATGATCATCCGAGACCTTTATTGGAGCAGATGACCTTTCGTCTTCCCCTTCCAACTGATGCTTCTGTGGACATTCACTAGGCGAATGAACATGAAAAGTGATTAATATGAAGGCTTGAAATTCAACGTAAACTCTTCTCTAGCCTCGATTTCACTTACTTAAAAACAGCAGTAGATGGAGATGTTTTGGAAGAGGATTCATCACAATGACCATTGGACCTAAATTAAGAAAACAAGAGACATTACAAACATCGTTTCGGTAAGGTTTTGGATGAAGAAAAAAACAATAGTTTCTTCAATTAACTCACGTTTGATCCTTATCCAGTTCATTATCCTTCGCTGAGTCTCCATTCTCACTAAGAAGCAAAAAAAGACATTTTAAAGAGGTTTAACAAAAAATTAAAACTCTAAATCAAAACAGCATCAGAGATCATCGTTCGCTCACTCATGTCCAGCAAGACGAACGATCCCATAATCAAGCAATGAAGTGTCCCAGTCAGGAATGAAGGTAAGAACAGGATGGATCAACGATGAACGATTACGAGGATCCCAATTCAATCGAATAAATCAAGAAGAATATGGCGTCTTAAAGGGCAAATACACGGCCTGGAGTGACAAGCAAGCAGTGGAACACAGAAGTGCACCCGGAAAAAATGTGTGCAAGTCAATAATCTGGTAGCTAATGATAGAACCACAATTGGATGGATCAGTAAATGGGTTCCAAAGAAGATGTCCAGATAGCGAGATAGATGCATCAAAGAGTATCGGACAAATCAAGCACTAGTTACTGGCGAAGCTGAGTGGGCGACACAAACAGGGATGGCCTAAGCCAAGCCCTTTATTTTAAATGGTACAGGTGAATAAATTTTAACAGCAAGACAGAGGTAACTCAAACAGAGGGGAAAAAGTGTTCAACCGAAAACTACTGGGAAACCAGAAAAATAAATGAAGGTTTGGCAATGGTTGGTGACATACAAATGAAGCACACACACAAGCTTATTTTTACAAACTGGATATAACTTGATTTGGGAAATAGCACAGAAGCAGCCCCACGCACTCGATGGTAGTTTGATAGCGCAAGAATATTTCTCTCAAGACGAAATGGTGTAAAAGACAAAATTCTGCCAC